GATAGAAACCAAAATTTTGACCCGCGGATCCCTTGAGCCAAAATGGCTACGGAAAGGAAAAGGAGGGAGGAGGAGGAAGAGGAGGAGGAGGAGGAGGAGGAGGAGGAGGAGGGAGGCGACCTTGTTGTCGTGCTCCGCGACCACGAGCGTGGCGTACCCGCGCCCAGACGTGGCGCACCGCCGGGCCAGGCCGCGCAGCGCCGCCGCCATCTTCCGACGGCAGAGTACGGACCGGGCGAAAGGATCCACGCAGTGGTATGCACCACGAAGTACGGATCGGGCTGAGCTGCACCTAGGGTTTGAGAAAAGCCCAATTCATAGACCCCCACCCCAGAGTTCCCTCCCCCTCTCACCCCCATCCTCCTCCTCCCTCCTCTCCTCCTCCTCCTCCTCTCCTTTTCTCCTCCTCTCCTCCTTCCTCCCCCCCCTTTCCTCCCTCCTCCACTTCCTCATCCTCCCCTCCGTTCTCCTCTCCTCCCGCCCCCTCCTCCTCCCCTCCTCCTCCTACTTCCTCCTCCTCTCCTCCTCCTCCCCTCCTCCTTTCCTCCTCCTCCTCCTCTCCTCCTCCACCCGCCTCCTGTCGCGCCGCTCCACATCCCGTTGGCCCCCCTTCCTACTCCTCCTCCTCCTCCTCCTCCTCCTCCTCCTCCTCCTCCTCCTCCTCCTCGACGTTGTCGTAGTCGTCACTTAAGCCCTCCAATTGATAAACGAACAAATGCAGAGATCACCGTCGTCGTCGTCCTCCTCCTCCTCGTTCTCTCCCTCGCTTCCACTCTCCTTCCTCCTCGTCCTTCTCCCCTGCGGATTCAATAGCATCCCCATCCTCCTTGTCCTCCAGTTCCTCTGTGCCCTTGTCCACCTCGCGTCGTCATCGTCGTTGTCGTGTATCGTATTCGTCCTGATCACCATCACCAGTATTCCCTATCCGAAACAGCTCTCCCATCGCTTTCGCCGCAATGGAGGTTGCACGCGGGACGCTCAACCCTGAGTTGCTGACACAGCAGCCAAAATACAACAACGTGTTCCCTTTCACCATAGACGTTCGCTCCACGCGCGCAGGAAATGGTGCACACGTGGCGCACGTCGCGCGCTGAAGGGAGCAAGATCGCTCTATGCCCAACGCCGCGCAGACTCTGCATGAATGTTGCGCTCCCATTTTGGGCGCGCCACATGGTTCTCGCTCGCCACGGTCCGAAGCGGGGCCGCGCCCAGCAGCACGAAATGCGGCCATGCCTCGGCGCCCAGCCTAGTTGCGCTGACAACTGTGCGCTCCCCCACTGGTCGCGGCGCGCAGAAGCAAGGGCCGCGCGCGAGAGAGCGGCATGCCGTACTCGCGCCGCGTGGCGTAGGGAGGCGGGGGGGGACGGGGGCAGACGAGGACCGGCAGGGAAGCAGCGGGGAGGCAGGGCGGCACGAGATGAAGACGAAGGCGGAGGAGGAGGAGGAGGAGGAGGAAGATCAGGAGGATGACGAGGAGGAAGAGGAGCAGGGCAGCGCTTTCCTGGCATAGGAGAGCTTGTAGAAAGCAAGACAGCGCGGCGGAAGGGCAGAAGTGGGCGGGGCATGTCGGCTCGCTCGAGCTGTCTTCTTGCCTCCTGCTCATACTCCTGCTCCTTGTGCTACTCCTCCCGCTCCTCCCTCCTCTTCCTCCTCTCTCCCTCCTCGATCTTCTCCTCCGTCCTCCTCCCTCCGCCCTGTTTGTTTTGCCCACCTCCGTCCCTCCTCTCTGCTGCTCCTCCTCCCAATCATCCCTCCTCCCCTCTTGCCTCTTCTTCCATACTTGCAAATCATCACCCTCGATCTCACCCTCATCATCATCGCCGCCGCCGTCGTCATCATCACCATCACCACCATGACAATCACCACCCCAACCCTATCATCATCGTCGTCATCAACAGCATCATCACCCTCACCAACATCTCCATCATCAACCACAATATCATCATCACTATCAAGAACAGCAGCACCAACATCATCATCATCATCATAATCATCATCATCATCATCATCATCATCATCATCATCATCATCATCATCATCATCATCATCGTCGTCGTCGTCGTCATCGTCATCATCATCATCCTCATCCTCATCATCATAATCACCATCCCCATCACAATCACCATCACCATCACCACCATCACCATCACCATCATCATCATAATAACAATCACCATCGTTGCATCATCATCATCATCAAAACCATCCTGATCGTCAGCATCCTGATCAGCATCACCATCATTCACCATCATCACCACCATCATGATCAGCATCATTACTATCATCAGCAACACCATCATCATCACCATCATCACCACCACCATCGTCATCATAATGATCAGCAGCATCAACAACACCATCAACACCATGATGATTAGCATCATCATCATCATCATCATCATCATCATCATCATCATCATCATCACCATGATCATCATCATCATCATCATCATCATCAGCATCAGCATCAGCATCAGCATCACCGTCACCATCACCATCACCATCACCACCATAATCATCAGCAACAGCATCAGCATCATCAGCATGCTCATCACCATCACCATCATCATCATCAACATCATAATCGTCATCATCATCATAATCATCATCATCATCATCATCATCATCATCATCACCCTCACCCTCCTCCTCCTCCTCATCATCATCACTACCATCCTCATCCTCATCCTCATCTGCCACCGTGCCTTTGTGGCACGAAGTGGGGTGTTCTCAGCCCACTCTCTTAATCCCTGCGCCTCAGTCCTCACTTCTGAGAAGTCTGTAAAAAAAACCAACCCCAATTTCCGCATTGCACCGCGTCGGATTAGCGGAGCGCCGCCCCGCTAATCCGCCGCAAAACATGCGCGCCGACTCCCAGAATGCTCCTCGTCGGACTGGCGGAGCGCCGCTCCGCTAATTGGCCTCAAAACACGCGCGCAAATTCTCGGAATGCATCGCGTCGGATTAGCGAAGCGCCGCTCCGCTACTTGGACCCAGAACATGCGCTTCGCGGAATGCCCCTCGTTGGATTAACGGAGCGCCGCTCCGCTAGGTGGCCTCGAAACATGCGCGCCGGCTCCTGGAGTGCTCCGAATCGGCTCCGCTAATCCGCCTCAAAACGTGCGATTCGCGAAGTGCCCAGCGTCGGACTAGCGGAGCACCGCTCCGCTAAGTGATCTCAAACCATGCGCGCCGAACCGACGGTTTCGGGGGTGCTCCGCGTCGGAATGGCCTCAGAGCAAGCGCGTCGACATTGCTTGCGTCGCACCTGCCTCCAAGAGTCCCCCGACAGGCTCCCCACGATGTCCCAACGAATATCCACGAGGTCTCGCCCCCAAGGGGTCTCAAGAGGCCCCCAAGAGGCCCAAAAGAGGCGCCAAAAGGCCGCCAAAGCCCCCGAGAGGCCTCAACAGTGTCTTCCAAGAGGTCGAGAGGCCCCCGGGGGGCTTCCGACGAGATCCCAACAAACATCCAATAGGTCTCATACCCACAACGAGGCACGGTGGCGGGATGGGCCGAAGGCCACTAGAGAATCAGTCTCATCATCATCATCATCATCATCATCATCATCATCATCATCATCATCAGCATCAGTATCAGCATCAGCATCAGCATCAGCATCAGCATCAGCATCAGCATCATCAGCATCAGCATCATCATCATCATCATCATCATCATCATCATCATCATCATCATCATCATCATCATCATCATCATCATCATCATCATCATCATCGCCATCGTCATCATCATCATCGTCGTCGTCATCATCATCTTAATCATCGTCGTCGTCATCATCACCACCACCATCACCATCATCATCATCGTCATCGTCAACGTCCTCATTATCATCATCATCAGCATCGTCGTCGTCGGTGTCGTCGTCATCGTCATCGTCAACATCATCAGCAGCAACATCATGGTGATAATCGTCATACGTAGCTAAATCAAGATCGGCATACGCGGCATCATCATCCTCAACACCATCATCATACTCGAAATCCTCATCATCATCGTCATAATCAAGAGCATCATCATCAACATCATCATCACCATCATCATCAACATCATCAATATCAACATCATCATCACGATTACCGCCGTAACCGACATCATGAACAGCCTCTTTGTACCATCATGAGCATAGCATCATCACCGTCATCGTCATCATCAGCAGCAGTTGCGCGCACATTCTTTGTAAACATTTGCAAGAGTTTCACGGATTGAGGGCGGGTCGTTTTCAAACTGTGGCTCTCGCCTTAGCGCCGCGCACATTCGTTGTAAACATTTGCAAGAGTTTCACGGATTGAGGGCGGGTCGTTTTCAAACTGTGGCTCTCGCCTCTCGCCGCGCACATTCGTTGTAAACATTTGCAAGAGTTTCACGGAATCCCTTATCAACGTACCAGAAATGGTGTTTCGGAAAGATTCAGGATTGTGCGGGCGCAACAGTTATTTGCTGTGTTTGAAATCCAAAAAACCGCGTCCTGGCACGATTCCGGACCGTCAAGACGCAGCATTCAGGTTGAGACGTGGCGTTGAAATCCAGAAAACAATGTTTCGGCACGCGTCAGGATCTTCATACGGTTGTCTTCCAACGAGGCAATTCCTTCAATGGAAATAAACCGTGGCAGGCGCCTGTGAAAAGGGAGCTTCGCGGGAGAATTAATTCCAACATCGTTGATGACTCTTGGGTTTGCACTGGTCCTCCTCCTCCTCCTCCTCCTCCTCCTCTCCTCCTCCTCCTCCTCCTCCTCCTCCTCCTCCTCCTCCCCCTCCCCTCCCCCCCTCCCCTCCCCTCCCCCTCCCCTCCCCTCCTCCTCCCTCCTCCTCCTCTCCTCCTCCTCCTCCTCCTCCTCCTCCTCCTCCGCCTCTTGGATCCTTGTTTGCACTGCTATCGAAAGGTTGGCCCGCTTTCCAGGGAGGTGGGGGCCGGACTGAGGGCAGATGGGCGGGAAAATCGCCTCCCCCTCCACCCTCCACCCTCCCCTCCCCTAACGGCGTGGCACCGCCCGGCCGCGCACCCCCCCCGCTGGCCGCGCCTGGTGAAGGCAGGCGTGCCCGTCGACGAGCGTCAGCTGCTGCATCTGTGGCCCCGCTGGCGCGCTGCCCTGCGCCGCGCCGGGCAGGACGGCGGAGGAGAGGATGGGAGGGAGGGAAGGCAGGACGGAGGGAAGTGGAGAGAAGCGAGGGGAGGAAGGGAGGAGAGAGGCTGGGGAAGAGGAAGGAGGGAGGAAGAGGAGGGAAGAGGTGGGAGGAAGAGGAGGAGGAGGAGGACGACGAGGAGGAGGAGGCGTTTGGCCGAAGCTGCTTTTTGCCCGCAGGGGGCAGGCGGAGGGCAGAGCCGGCCCAACCCTGTGTGCGTCGGGGACAGCACCCCCTCGACCACGACTCTTTGCCGCGGCTCCAGGCCAGCGGAGCCAGCCCAGCGCAGGAGATGACGCTCTCAAAGAGCTTGGTTTACCAGCCTGGAACATATCCCTATCCCTATGCTGGGCACCTCCTCATCACGATGCCAATCTCAGGGATTCCCTTATTTTTTGAGGGCGAATCCCTAAGATTGTCATCGCCTTTTGGCGTGTCAATCTTAGGGATAGGGATACGTTCGAGGCTGGTAATTGGTGCCGTACCTCCTCTCGCGCCCGGCCAGCGCCAGGCGCGAGCCGGAGGCTCGCCGCAGTCGCCAGAGAGAGAGAGAGCTCCACTCAGCAAGGAGATGGCGAGTCAGGCTGCAGGCTGGAAGTGCAAGCGTGGAGAGAAGGCTGCTAATCATCACGGGATGGGCACGCGTCTCGGCGGTGGACAAGCCTCCCCTTAGTAGACCTCCCCTTAGTGAAAACGGCCTGGGACCGAAACCGACGGACCTGGACCCGCAAGAATGACGGCCGCGACGCCCTCTCGCGGACCGAGAACGGCCAAGTCCTGAATCGACGTGTCGGGGTAGGAGGTCTGTCCACCTCCGAGCGTCTGTGGTGGCCATCTCAGTCCGAGGATCAGCATTGTGGCGCGGGCACGCGGGAGGCCCCGGAGAGTGCGGGTGTGCGAGGCGGCCGCCGTGGCGAGGCCAGGTCCACACCCGTCATGCCGCCCAGGGCCGCAGTCCACAGGCGGACCTCTCGCCCTGTGAGGCCCACCTCGCCCCCGGGAGGCCGAGGCCCATCGGGCGTGGGATCCCCCGCCGCACAGTCGGGGCGTTGACCTAAGGAACCCTAAACAAGGAACGAGGCCCCCTTTTCCCATGAGTGAAGCTCCGATGTCGTACCGAAAACCTGAGGAACACCCGAGGCGAGCCGCGAAACACTGTTTTAAGGAACACGGAGCCCCTCCCCAACGGAAAGGGTTCCTTCTTCAGGGCCCCGACTGTACGAGGAGTCCCAGACCGCCCGACGAGTCCCAGATCGCCGCGTGCCGCACGGAGGCCCGGCACGGGATGGAAGCGAAGCGAAGCGAAGCCAACGCCGGAGGCGGGCGCGCTCCTCCGGGGAGAGCCCGCCCGTGCCCGTCGGGGCACGGCGTGGAGGCACGAGATGGAGTCCCTCTAGGGCTCCCAACTTCGCGCTTCGCGCTGCGCGAAGCGCGAAGCGCGAATAACTTCGCGCTCTCGCGCCGCCCTCCCAAAGGGAGAATAGGAGGACGAGGAGGAGGGGGAGAAGGAACGAGGACCGCGAAGCGCGAAGCGCGAATAACTTCGCGCCCTCGAGGGAGCCCTTGTCCCTGGCGGTGTCGGCTACTGCGTCGAAGACGGCGGGCATGGACGACGGAGAAACTCGATGCGAGATGAGTATGTGGAAGGCCGCCCCGGTGTCTCGCAAACCGATTGCCCACCAGATCGCCGACGTGAGGAACCGCAGGGCGCGCTCGGACGACAGGGTCCGAACGAGGAAGCACGACCAGAGGAGACCGGCAGGAGGAGGAGAGACCACGATCACGGCCGACGTCGAGGACCTCAAAGAGCGGCTCGAGCAGACGGAGGTGGAGATGCAGGAGGCCGAGAACGACGACGTGGCCCTGCAGGCGGCAGCGCATGGGCCCCAGCCGCCGCGCGCACCTCCTGCCCCGGTCGGGCCGCAGGGAGATGCCGCCGCCGCGGGGCGGCGCAGCGCCATGCCCGCCCGCGCAGGCCGCTGGGCCGCCGCCCTGGCATGGGAGGCAGCGCCCGCCACTGCCGCCACCGCGGCAGCCTCCCGCCCACGTGCCCGCTTGTCCCGCAGCACCTGCTGCCGTCCCTGCCCCAGGGAGCCGCGGACACCATGGGCAAGGGGCGAGGGGCGGTATGCCCCACATGCATACACCCTGCGAAATGCTTAAGAAATCATGGGTTAAGAAATTCATAGTCTCAGAACTTGGATAAAAACCCAACATTTCCATTGAAATCTTAGGATTCACATTGAAACGTTAAGAAAAATCGAGACTCTGGCCGAAAACTTGAGTTTTCTTAAGCATCGCCCAAGGTGTACGGCGAACCAGGAGGCCTGCAGCGAGGCCCAATCCCACCTGCCAGCCCTCTGGGCGTCGGTGGTCGAAGGAGCTTCCTCTTCCACCCCTCCTCTTTCCCCTTCCCCCTCCCCTGGACCTGGACAGGGGGTTTCGCGAGGTGTGGGAGCGTCCAAAGCGGCCCTGGCGAGGAAGCCAAAATCATTGGTTTTACGATGGATTTGTCTCCATGTTGGCCTCCTGAGGGGGGGACTGAAATTAGTTCCCCCATTCCTCCTGTGATCGATCTCACCCAAGATGGCCCAAAGATGGCCCCCTAGGCTCCCAAGGGTGCCCCAAGAGGGCCCCAAGAGGTGGCCAGGAAGCCCCAAGAGGCCCCCAGGATGCCCCCAAGAGGCTCCCAAGAGACCCCCAAGAGGCCCCAAAAGATCCCCCAGAGGCACCCAAGATGCTCCAAGAGGCCTCGTCGAGAATGCCAAATCATTGATTTTACCAAGGTTGTAGCCACATGTTGGCCTCTTGGGGGGGCACTGATTAAGATGACTCCAAGAGCGCCTGGGAGAGCCCAAGATGATCTCCAAAATGGCTCAAGATATCCCAAGATGTCTCAAAATGGCTCCCACGATGCTCCAAGATGCCCCAAGACCGCTCCAAGGCGGCTCCCAGTGGCCAAAGAGCTCCCCCAGGAGGCCCCGAAGAGGCCAAAACCTTAGGACATTATATGTGTTTGGCTTTCTCGCCTTTTCGCTTCTGATGGCCATCCGAGGCCTCAAGATGACTCCAACATGGCCCAAGAGGGCCTTCTATTTTTCTCCAGCGCAAGCTTGAGAGGGCGCAGGGCCGAGGAGCCTCGGCAGCAACGGTGCATAGAACCTGGCGGCATTCAACAAGCAAAAAACTCGTGACCTGATGAATTCGTGAATTTGTGTGGGAAAAGAAGACAAGAAAGCAGAAACGGGAGGGAGGGTTGGGCGGCTCGCGCGGCTGGGAAACTGTTGCATAACTGCGAGGGCCATAACTGGTGAGGAAATCTCAGCCGAAACGCCCGGCCCGCTCTACCGACACGTCTCTGGGTGCAAAAGAGAGGAACTATGTGTAAGGAAAGGGATGGAGGAGGAGGAGGCGGCGAAGGAGGAGGCGAAGGAGGAGGACGAGGATGAGGAGGGAGGAGGGAGGAGGGAGGAGGGAGGAGGAGAGGAGGAAGGAGGGAGGAAGGAGAAGGGAGGAGGGAGGAGGGAGGAGGGAGGAGGAAAGAGGGAGGAGGGAGAAGGGACGAGGGAGGGAGGAGGGAAGGAGGAGGAAAGAGGGAGGAAGGAGAAGGGAGAAGGGAGGAGGAGGAGGGAGGAGGAGGAGGAGGAGGGAGGAGGGAGGGAGGAGGGAGGAAGGAGGAGGAGGAGGGAGGAGGGAGGAGGGAGGAGGGAGGAGGGAGGAGGAGGAGGAGGAGGAGGAGGAGGAGGAGGAGGACGAGGAGGAGGAGGAGACGAGGAGGAGGAGGAGGGAGGAGGAGGGTGAGGAGGAGGACGAGGAGGAGGGGAGGAGGAGGAGGGGAAGTCGGAGGGATGGGGATGAAAGAGGAGGAAGCAGGAGGAAGGATGTCGAAAGGGAGGCGCAGGAGGGACGAAGCACGAGGAGGCAGGATGCAGGAGAGAGGGAGGAGGGAGCAGGAAGGAGTCGGAGGGAGTAGGGACGGACGGAGAAGGAGGATGAGGAGGAGGAGGACGACGGAGGACGGAGGAGCGCGGATCGGTGCAATCGCAGCAAAAAGGCGGCTCCTGCGCACGCATATGTCTGCGGCCGCCGACACCCGCGCTGGTCCCACGCCATGCGCCGCCCTGTGGGGGAGAAGGCAGCGGCGGCGGAGAAGGTTGAGGAGGAGGAGGAGGAGGAGGGAGGAGGAGGGAGGAGAAGGAGGAGGAGGAGGAGGAGGAGGAGGAGGAGGGGGAAGGAGGAGGAGGACGAAGCGGGAAAGGAGAAGGAGGGGGAGGTGGAGGAGGAGGAGGAGGAGGAAGAGGAGGAGGAGGAGGCGAAGGAGGAGGTAAAGAGGAGTGGGAGGACGAAGAGTAGGAGAAGGAGGAGGAGGAGGAAAGGGAGGCGGACACGGAGTGAAATGAGGAGGAGGAGGAAGATGAGGAGGAAGAGGAGGAAGAGGAAGAGGGTGATTTTTTCCTCTGCAGGCCGAAGAAGCGGAACCAGTCAGCAACGTTTGGCTTGAGACATACGAGCCAGCAGTGGTTACATCCTCACGTGCCTGCGCGCGGAGAGCGCACGCCAGGGGCAAAACAATAGACTGCATCTGGCCCGAACAGCAACGTTTAGCTTGAGACTGAAGAGCCAGCGGAGGCGGCAACGGTCAAGCCACAGATGAGGCACAACCCATTGCCTCGGCCCGCGTTGGCATCCTTCGATGCCGCTTCACGGGCCTGCACTCTCGCAAGCAAAGCTGCCACCCTCTCGCTCTGAGGGAAGGCGGAGAGGCCGGAGTGCTGCTGCGACGACGCGGGCCTGGATACATCAACAGGCGGGGGCGCCTGCGCAGCATATCATAACAAAAATCACACCCCGCCTAGACGAGCGGGACGTCCTCTCATCCTCGTTCCTAGAATGAGGATGGAGGCCTGACAGAATTCTCGGCAACGTAGTCTTAGCCCCAAGAAGTTTGTTGCCTGGACATTCCTGACCGAGCTTAGAGCACCGACGTGCCGTATAGGCTCCGCACGTCGTGCAGAAGAAAAGCGTAGAAACTTTATCTCGTCGGGACACGCGAGTGTGGGCCAGAACGTGCCCCTTGGAGGAGTCCAACACACCTTGCCACGTCCTGGAAGGACCTTTACAACCGAACATAGGGCGAGTTCCAGGGTCGCCCCAGAACTGCAACACATCTCGAACACATGGCCTGTCCATTACCCAGGGCTTCCCAAGCGTGCCAGCCTCCAGCCTTGAGGAATCTACACCGCTGTTCCCTAGGCGGCCTCTCAAAGTTTTTCTAGAGGAAAGCTACATAAGACTTGAACCAAGACTTTAGCCGCAGATGTGAGCTTCTCTATGCGCTCGCTAACACCACGACACAGGGCCTCGGAGGGTTGCGGGTGGAGAAGGAGGGCTTGCTTAGCCAAGAGGTCCGCATTAAGAGTTCCCACGCCAATCCTCCTTTCAAGTCCTGGGAGACTGTCCAACACCGCCTGAGACCGATGGGCGGGGGTGTGGCACGTCCTGAAATCGTGGTCTCGTTCCTCATGCAAGAGCGCACCCCTCCGCATGCCAGCATAGTTGTGTCGATGTGACACCTGATGCTGACGGGATGCGTGCGTTGCACAACTTAGCGACGGTGCTCTGCGGCCTGCGGCGTCTGCTGCAACACGTCTTTTAGCGCAAGCCACAGTGCCTCCTGCCGAATCGAGAAAACCCACGCATATGCAGCACGAGACAAATCTCGAATCACGCGTCGAGCGCAAAAACCGTCATAACACACGTCCAGGCCCCGAAGATCTAAGGAGCCCCAAGGAATCAGGTCGCCTTGGGGGCTAAACAAAACCGGGCTGGGGTTGGTCGACGGAAGGGGGAATTTGGGCCCTGGATGCTCCCACTTGAGCTCGTCCCAAAAGCAGCGGTCCATGCTCTCGACCGCCCCGCGCAGCCAGCTGCGCTGATCTCCAACAGAGTCTTGTCTGGTACTAACCGCATCTGGATGACCGCAAAGCCATGCGCGATGGCGAACGCCATCTGGCCGGCAGCACAGCAGGCGCTCGCCGTCGCTGTCGTAGCCAACCGCCTTAGCCCGCGCGCGCGTCCACGCGCCTGAGCAGAACCCTGCGAGGGCCAGGTATTTTTCCCTAGAGGTCAGATCCTTGGATATTGGCCCCAAGGCCCGAACGAGGGGCCCCGTGCAAACCCGATGGCCACCGAAGGAAGGGATGAGCTCAGCAAGAACTCGTCCGCGGTGGCGCAAGACGGTCACGTGCAAAAGCTGCCCAACAAGCGCAGGCGAATTATAGGAGAGATGGACTGTTCGCCCAGCGTCGTCGGCCCAAGTGAGTGCCGACGTAGACTGCCGACCTATACGGCTCAGGGAAAGGTGCATTCTCTGGATGCGCCCGCGCGAACTCTCCCTGGTCATCCCTTCGTCGAACGGAACCGCAGCCCACATAAAACATAAATCGTCGATGCCGTAGCGGGGCGCGTGGGGGCTAGTCAGGGCTTGCCAGACCACGCGAGACCAATGCAACGCCGGCGCAACAGCCGCCCTCCAAACTGGGTCGCCACAGAAAACCAACTTACTATGGAACGAGGTTCCCTTATGATGAGGGGCATATGCGCTAACATCACCCTCTGGGCCTGTCGAACCTCGCTATCGCTGAGGCCAGCAATGGAGGCTCCGAACGTCAGGGTAGGGGAAACGTCAACAACATATATCTTGCCTACGCGACCCTTCTGACGGGGCAAACACTCACGGTATCTCTGGAGGACCCTATGGCGCTGGCGCATGCGATGGGCCCTCTGGTAGCGCTTCCAAAGCCTGTTTCTAGATGAGCGCTTTGTCCCATCGCAAGATCGCTACCTGACACCAGAGCACCATTCGTCACTGAGCCGGCCACGCCGCCAAGCAGTCTGGCCAGCTTCCGAGCCAACGGGAGCGAGCTCGCGAACATCGTGGGCTTGTCCGCTTGCAATTGCACCTGAAGGTATCCCCGAAACATTATGCACGTGGCCGCGGCAGCCTGCGAGATCCTACTGAGTACTTCATTATCGTTGTCACCTACCGCCGCGAGAGAATCATCATCCACATACGACGCCAGATGCACCCGAGGATAGTCCAAGGTGAATTGATCGAAGGCTTCGATATCATAGACTCCCACATACAAATCGTTGAAAATTGCCCCCGCTGGGAGGCCGGACCTAGCGAAGTAGGGGACACTGCGGCACTGGGTTCCGAGACTCAGGAGTCTCGGGCTGCGCCAGAAGTTGCGACGTCGTTTTGACGATGACGGGGGGAAAGCCGCGGGCCAGAGCTCGGGTCTCTAAGCAGCTGAAGGTCGAAGCTTTCATCATATTTAGTGCCGTCCCAGAGCACTCAGCACTAACCTGGTCAGAGTGCGCCGCCACTTCGGCGCGCGTCGCCCGGTGCCAAGCGGCCTCCTCGGCGCTGCGCCCAGGTCCGAAAGCCCAGAAACGCCGGGGAAAGTCCTCATTAAACTTGAACAGGATCGGTATCCGCAGCCTCTAACTCTAACGAGCCACCCTTAGCTTTCTCGAGAAGGGGAAAAAGGAGCCAAAAGAGTTGTTCGGGGAAGAGGCCCAGACTTTCCACGGCCTGGAACAGCGCCGCCAAACATTCAAGAGGCGCGTCCGACACCAACGACAGTCGACGAGGGTGGAGACCATCGAAGGACTGGGAGGTGCGGAAGGACAAACTAGCACTCGCGCCGCGCATCTCCGCAGCCGAGGCCATCGGAAGGAATTGCGATCAGGCACTTCCACGACATCAGGCCTGTCGGAGGCGCGCCCAAGACGAGCCAGCGTCTCACCTTTAATGCGAAGGAGCCCCCGAGGGTCACCACTAAACTGACCAGGATGGGTTTCCACCACCGTGGGGGCCCACTTTTGTCGAAGCTGCGTGAGCCCACGCATGGCCCGCGCCCCCCCTTTCAAAGCCTGTTGGCGCCAGACATCCCAGGAGTCCTGCTTTGCTTGGCCTTCACGAGGTCCTTCTGCGCCTGCTCGCGCTCATCTTGCCAGCCATCGAGAAACTCGCGAACAACTTGCGCCCGCTCCTCGAGCGAGGATGGAGGCCGCCGCCGCATGCACTCGCGCGCCTGGGCGACTGCGGCGCCCAGGCGAACCGCCAATCCTTCTCCGCGGTGCGGCTGGCGCAAAAGAGGCTGCACTTGCTGCCGCGCGTCCTGGGCGAGCTCTTCGCCACGCCAGCTAAGCCCGGCATCGCCGCAGGACCTGACGGCGTCGGGAAGACGCGGCGCCGCGCCAACCGTTTCAGGCACAAGCCGCGCGAGCCATATCCAGCCATGCCAGACGAGCTCCGCGCTAGCTAGCACTCTTTGGGGCGGCAAAACAGGGGGCCCATTTAGCCTCGATGGCATGTCCCTCGAGCCCCTCGGTCTTGATGGGGGCCACCGGAAAGGCCCCCATTTCCAACGCCAAAATGTTCTAGAAGACCCGCTGCGCTTTAAGCGGGGGGGAGGGCCAAGCGAAGCCGGCGGGCTTGTCCGCGGCAGCCTGCGCGGCGCTCTCGGCCACGTCTCGGGCCAAAGACCAGACGCGAGGTCGAAGCGACGGGCCGAAGGGAAGTTCAACTGGAAGCCTCCGGTGGCCATGGTAGACCAGCTGATGCAGACGCACCGCGTTGCTCTTAGCTGGAGCTGCACGGGGCGGCGCGGACGTCCGCCCCACCGCAAATCATAGGCCACCTTGTCGATGGAACGAGAAAAAGGGGCGCTGCACAAGACAGCGTCGATCTTGGACAAGGAACCCGCGCTCGCGCGAGTTCGGGCGGGGGGGGCGAACAGCACAGCGCCCAATCTTCGAACCGCGCCCGTAGATTCAACGAGGGCAGGGCCGAAGCCCCAGTCGCCCCCGCAAGAGAACAGGCGCCCCCATATCCAAACTCTGGCCTAGATGCTTGGGGTACGACGCGCTGTTATCGCAGAATCCTGTGCCCGACTTGAGGTAGGCGCAGACTATAATGGGCGCTGGCCAGGTGGGTATATCCACGTGGACCTTCATGGCCCCGGCTTGGATCAAAAACCCCCGCCCTCGGGCCAGCGGAGGCCGATGTGGGCCCGAACAAGCGCAGCAACTCCCCGCATAGGACGCCCCCTGG